CGCCATAACTTGACTATAAAAGAAAAAACCAGAAAAAGGTGAATTAGTATTTTTTTTTTCAATTGAGAAAAGATATTAAAAGTGAAGTATGTCTATCGTTGAAGCAATTATTGATACATCTGTTTGGGGACCGATTTTACTTTTTGTTATTGGAGTTCCAGCAGCAATTTGCAATGCGATAATTTTTCTTGGAGTGAAAACATTTCGTCAATCTCCAAGTTCTTATTATGTTGTTGATCAATCAATATTCGATTTAGGTAATTTATTAATTGTTCTTCTTGAAAGTATTCCATCAACATCAATGAATGCATCTGCAATAGCATGCAAGTTGAAGATTTACTTTAGTCAAATAATCGGACCATGTGCTATGACTTTTCTTTGTCTGGCAACATTTGATCGTTGGGCATGTACATCAAGATCGGCTAAACTACGTCAATTAAGTTCAATTGGTACAGCTCGTCGTATTTTTCCAATTCCTGTTATAGTCTGGCCATTGGTCAGCATACCTTATCTTATTTATTGCGATTTTATTCCACCTTTTTTTACTTGTGGATTTACAAATCTTCTTTTTGCAGAAATTGCCCTTTCTTTTCTGGCTCCTATATTTTCTGTTATTTTTCCGCTTATCATTTTAATCATATTTAGTATTCTTACATATCGAAATCTTCATCTTATGACAATTGCTAATGCTTAACAACAATGTGTCCGCACTCGTTTATCGATGTGGGAACAACAAATAACAAGAATAATGATCATTCAAACAGTGTTAAATATATTATGTACACTTCCTCGATGTATCTTGATGATTTATACAATAGCAACACTAAATCAACGTGCAATGAGAAGTTTAAATCGAATTTATATTGAAACTCTGCTTGATCAATTGACGGAATGTATAATAACCCTAAATTTTGCTTCGTCATTATATATATATTTTATTTCTACATCACGATTTCGACAAACAATCAAAACAGTTTTAAAACGTTTTTTCAATTTGGAAAACAATCAAGTTATTCCTATGACCACCTCTCGTCCAACAGCAGCAGTAACTGTTACCAAAACTTATGACAGAAAAAATTAACTCGTCTATTTAAACTTAACAAGTTGGACTTGTGCATATGAGTAGATAGAACCGTTACACGACAGACAGTTATTTCTGTCTTGTCGGGACTTCATCAGATGTTATCTTAATATCATATCTATATGGAAATATAATTCATAATAAAACATTTGCATTACAAAGATAGAGAAAAATAATTAGATTATATTTGTACATTTAAATTTTTCTTGATATTTTATTGATCAGGGTATCATTACAAGTAACCAAGGCTCTCAATGAAGTTTCGACTTATCTAAAACGAAAAAAGTATAGCAGAAATTGCTTTTTGAGGTTTGAAGGAAAAAAATTATGTTTATATATTAGAAGATAAACAAGACAAGTAGAATCAGCATTTTCACGCATTAAACAAAAAAGACTTTGTTAATTAATATGAATTATTTATGAAATATGTTTCACCACTCTTTGACGAAGTTGATGGAAAAGATTTTGATTATATTCGAAGTTAAGTTCTTCTGCATCGAATTCAGCAAAGAATAATTTGGACTTCCTGACGTATAAAATCAAATGGAAATCAATTTATTGAAAATGTCTATTGAATTTGTTTGCTTTCAATATAGAATTGACGCACGTGTGCACAACCTCAAACAGTACGTATAAGAGCTGCTTGGATTGATGTTGAATAGGTATTTCGTCTCTGACTGTATATAAAAGATAATAAGTGTGTTTCAGCATTTAAATTATGAGCCATATTGATCTTCAGATTACCGTCTATATAACTTATTTGAGGGCGTGGGTGTGGGTGTAGGTGTGGGTGTGGGTGTGGGTGTGGGTGTGGGTGTGGGTGTGGGTGTGG